TAGAAATTTAAAAAATTAAAAAAATTTTTACATGCATTTTAATTGGTAAAACTTTCAATATAAATAGTAAGTACTTAAAATTGGTGCTCAAACTTGGTGAGAATTTTTTTTTCTATGTGTAGATTAATATTTTGCTTAAGCACCGAAAAAAAAAAAAAAACTTTGCTTAAATGAATCACCCTACTATAACATCCTATTGGCATATGTACGGCAGCGTAAATGGTCTTGTGGAAGAAGCTCTTGTGTCAACTGAATCTTATATGGAAATGGAAACAAATGCAAATCCTTGTGCAAAATTGTGGCCAAAGTTGTTCTTTCCCAGCCAACACACCAAATCCCAGAGATATCCACAAAATATCTTTTGTGGATATCCAATATATCCACAGGATATCAGAAATATCCCGTGGATCTAATATGAATATCCAAATGTCCGTCTATATCCAGAATATAGAAGATATCCTATGGATATCCAGCAAAATATCTAATGGGTATCTTCCAGACAATACAAAAAATCCCAGAGATATCCACAGAATATATTTTGTGGATATCCAATATATCCAGTGGATCTAATATGGATATCCAAATGTCCGTCTATATCCCAGGATACAGAAGATATTCGGATATTCAGCAAAATATTTTATGGGTATCTTTAGTAGAGGTTCATAAGTAACCAGTGATTATTGAATAACGTCGAAAGAAAATAGCAGAGATAAAAAATATTTTTAACACTCTGCCTTTGATTTTTGATTTTGAGAAAGTCATCCTTATTAGGACTCTTCAGCAATAAATGGAAATTCTCAACTCCAGTCTCTAATGGAGTCTGATTGGGATACCAATTTCGATCGAACTCAATTACGGCGGGTTGAGCATGACAACGAGCGAAAGTGGTATCGCCATCTATACTTAGTAAGCAAAATCAAAAATTACATCTAGTGGATATCCACCATGGTTTGCGTTCGCGCCTAGACTTTGATATATTTAGTGGATGTCCATGGGATATTGAATACACCTTAAAAAAATTAATTTTAAATATCTGAACGGTACTATTAGCCACAATGGCGAGCACAATGGCGTAATTTTTTAATAATTTGCTATATAATTACTATTATTTATGGACATTTGCATGTCTATAAATTACATCTCATGGATATAAAATAGATATCCAACATGGACTGGACATTCAGTGGATATTGGTATGTCCAGTAGATATCCAAAGGATTTGGTGTGCTGTCTGGGTTGAAGACCAAGCTCCTGAGCACGGCGTCGAATTGAGGTTCATGGATTGTTTTGAACACTTTCTTGAGCAGCAGTAATGTTTTCAGCCGATCTTGCAGTACGTTGTGGTCCATGCTTGGGCTACAGACCCTCTTTCTTCGAAATCATTCACTACACGATAAATAGTGCATTTTGTTGGCACGTTGTTTCTCCCAAAAATTTCAAGTAACTTTCTCATCGTCACAATAATCGATGATTGATTTTGATAAAATGTTTTAACGATTAAAACACGTTGGTTTATCGAATATTTTTCCATAATAAATTTGCCACGTGTCTACTTCACGACTGCCAAATATGAACTGTCAAGACTAATGTTTACCAAAATGGCGGCAAAACAAAGTAGTATACCTTCCCGGCGGACACCCTGTACGAGAAAGTTGTGTTTGAACACTATATGTTATATAGTCAAGGTGGGGTCTGACTAGCGAACAATAAAGAACTTTAAAGAACAACAATATATTGTTTCATTCAGTTTGCATATCCTCGGCTACCACCTCATTTGTGGCAAGCTGTTGGGCTCAACAATAATATGTATAACATATGAAGGTATTAGAATACAAAGGGTACAAGTATCTTTTTTTTGTTAAAGTTACATACAACCAATTACAAAAACTAGATATAAATATGTATTGGAATATAAATGATCCAATTGAATTTTTTAACTCTAAACGCAATTTATTGTGTACTAAAAAAGGCATGTGAATAGCATTGTAGTTATCTTTAGAATACAAAGGTATAAGTATCCCTTGTATTCTTAGCCAGTTCTGGGATACTTTCACATTCTCGCCTATGATTCTTACGTATTTTGCATATTTGTTATACTCTTCATAAGGTATTCTGTAAAGAGTATTATAGGTTTATTTTCAAGAAACCAAAATTTTTAATACTGATTCAAATTGAAAAATCCTTTTCATCAGACTTAAAACAACTTTTAAAAATGTCACGATGTCACGTTTTTTGTCCCCACGAAGTTAAAAAATAAAAGGATATGGACTTAAAATTTACAAGAAAAATCAAGCTCTGTAAGGGGTCGAAGCCCATTGATTTTGAAAACAATCTGAATAAAAATCAGGCGGTTAAGGGGTGTTGAAATATTAAAAATTCCTAACTTTAAAACAAAAAATATGATGCGTCCAACACATGACTTTCCTATCTAGTTATTACAGGATTTTTCTGGTTATTTTGTACAACCTATTGTATACCTCTGTAAATGTTTAGAGTATGAACTAAACATATACATACATCTTAACATTTTTTTATATTATATTCATTGCCAAAGAAAATACTGAAAAATTTCAATTTTACACTTTTCCTCAAATTTTTCCGTTGCGGTCCATTTTACAGAAACAATGTATAAAACAAAAATTATAGAGATCGATATCACAAACAACTTTTTAGTTTAAAATTTTCTTAAAAATTTTAATTTTGCACTTTTTGTCAAATTTCTCGAATACGGACCATTTCAAGAAAATTAAGTGTATGACAAAAATTATAGAGAATAACATTAGAAGCAACTTTTATTTGAAGAATTTCTTAAAAATTTGAGTTTTGGATCGTTTTGGAAAGTCTAGAGAGTTCTAGTACTGAGCTGGCTTTATATAAATAGCGCGAGTTCGTCGACAAGCAAGAAGATTCAATTTAAGCGTTGGACAGAAAAGATAAATTGTAATAAATTAGAATTGTGAGTTATAATAGTGCCTAAGTATTATAATAAATTAATTAGTACGTTATAAATAAACTGTAAATAAAATGTTTTAAATAAATAAACTATAAATAAATTAAACGTTACAGTACAATAATTTGATGTGCTAATCTAAGTAAGGTTACAAGAGGAAATCAGGTCCGTATCTATATACCGTGCTTGGCTAAGTAAGTCCTTAAACGAAAAATCGATTATGTAAATTTATAAATTCTTTACCGCAAGCCCTATATGTATCATTTAGATATTAAAAAGAGACAAAAGTTAATATTGACTTATAAAAAGGATTAAACGGTTAATTCAAATTATAGGTCAAAACTCGTATGCTATAATGTTTAAACAAACATTGCGCTTTATTACGAAGATTTAGATCACCTGATACCGAAATAAAAAATATATAAAATATTAGTAAAATATGAAATAAGACATGTAAAATATTAAATACATGTTTTAAAAGTGATTACTTTTAACACTAGTATTAAAAAGTAAACCGACGGCCGTTTCTTTTCAATAATTTTAATAACCTGTCAGTGGAAAGTCTAGAATGCAGTATGATCCGCTTGAAAAATGTTTTTCTTACTTAGGGCCCTATTCAGTAATTTATCGTTTATGAACGACATCGTTAAGCTAACGACAGTTCAACCAACGACTTTAAATAACGATAATTTTTGAAACTCTATTCAATAACAAAGTCGTTACGTTGTTTCTAGTTACCAAATCTGAACAATGATTTCTGGTAAGTTGGTATTATAATTTAGTGTTTTGTGATAAAAGAACGTATGTTGATGATTATACCGGGTGTTTAAATTAAAGTTTTACAGTTAAATATCGCCAAAAATATGAATTTTATAAAAAAAAGAACAGAAGTTTTTTAGGGGAAACATTTTGGCCAAATTATTTTTTTTATAGCTGACCATAATATGGCCATATCGAGGTGGATTTTTAGCCAAAATGTTTTCCCCAAAAAACTATAAAACTTTGTTTTTTTTTTATAAAAGGCGGTATTTAACTGTAACCCTTTAATTTGAACACCTGGTATATTTGACATTTTTTTGGAACTAGTAGATATATTCATTTGTTTTTCAGAATATATTAATTATTGTTCTTTGAACAACCGGTATATTTGACATTTTTTTGGAAGTAGTAGATATATTCATTTGTTTTCAGAATATATTAATTATTGTTTTTTAAACCTACAACACGATCATCAGGGGGTCGATTCTCGATTCGTAGTAATTCTGTTTCTCGCGGGCCATTTTTGCTGGTCGTATTGTATGTAGGGTTTATTTAAATGAGTATGGATGTATTAAAAAAAAACTGAGAACTATTCCATAAGAATACAAAAAACAACTCGAGAACAGTACAAGTTGTATTTATTGGATTTGAAAGACAAACCAAATTTGTGTAGGTTACGGAGAAGTATTATAGGTACTTCCATAATATAGGTACTGTTACTGTTTCGCAAAGAACAGCACTGTTAATAAGAATCGAATAGTAAATGGTTGAATGGGCAATCCTAACTTTGAATCAGATTTATTTTTAAAATAATTAAATAAATTAGAAAAAAATTCCTTACAAATTGTACTTGCTGTATTAGGTAGATGTCAATTTAGTTGTAAAATTTGGAAAAAAGTGCTTTTATTATTTAAAACAATGAAAAATGAGAGGGAATGCAAAAATCACTATAACGACACTTCATATTATTAACGACAGCTCTTTGGCTATCGTTGATGAACGACAATTTTACAACCATATTTGTCTTATTTTCAACGACAATCGTTGTCTACTGAATAAGAAAAGTCGTCTGTGAACGATTATCGTCTATTAACGACGTCGTTCAGAGTTACTGAATAGGCCCCTTAATCTCCCATTATAAGACGAGCCTGTTTTAAATTCAAAATGACTGGTCGCTGTTTCAAACTGTAAATTATTGTATATAAAGCCGGCGTCCTTTCTTATTTTTTCTCTTGGTACAATAATAAGAAATAGGTAATTTCTTTATAATTACCAATTTACTTTTTTTCAGGTTCGCATTAACCGAAGGCTTAAATATTAATGATGTTCCTAACAAATCACCTAATTCTGGAAATTTTGCAGTCATATTAGACATAATAAATAATGCACTTTCAGCTGACGCTTCAACTGACATAATGCTACTACTTCTGCAATGGCTAAATGATGTTCTGATCAACTCAGAAATTTATTTAGAAAGCCTATATGTTGATGAAAAGTTTTCTAAAATGGTTGATGCTCTAGTATGCTGTGGATATAGTTTTAACAATAAAATTGTGTTAGCTGTATATGATAATCTTGATAAACTATTATCAAACAAACAATTGTCATGGTCTAATAATTTTTTATCCAATATCTGCGATCTTTGTAAATTGCACATGAATTCTAATAAGCCTGAGATTCGTAATTCTTATTCAAAATTATCATCCAATATACCATGGGACATAGCTGTAGTAGAGCTAAATAAAATGAATTCTATTTACTCAATGAAATTAAAGAGTACCTATCTTAAAGAATACAATAACTATATGGTTTACCTAGCTCAACATTTACATTTAAATGGTACCGTTGATGGAGAAATGTACCCCTTACATTTTAAAACTTTGATGAAGTATCTTCTACACAACGATACATTATCTGCAAATTGGTTGGAAGACATTTTTACTTGTTGTTGGGCTATCGAATCCGAGTCTCAAATGAATATGGAGTTGTTTTTTGAACTTGTTATTAACAATCGTCAAGTTTTAAACAATTGGATAACTTTGGAAGCTGCCGAATTTTGTGTTAATTATAAATTGAGAACTCCTTTAGGAAAACCAAATGAAACTTTCACTAAAATCGAGGGGACACTAAACACTCTAGGAAATGAGTTGATAGCTCTTAAGAAAAATCCAGAAAAGTAAGTAATCTTTTTTATATTGCTTATTTAAAATTCGTATAAATGTTTAAATTGAGTTAGTAAAATAAGTTTGAAAATAAAAGTTCTATTGGAATTTTTTCTTTCAAAAGTACAAAAGTTCGAATGACAAGTTCCAAAGTGAGAAAAGATCGAAACCAAAAAAAGATCAAAATTTGAACAAATAATTGAAATAGCATGTGATCAAAATTATAAATGAATAAAGAAAAGGATCAAAAATGCCAGTAATATGCAAAAAGAATGTGAATATGGTACGAGGGAAAATAGTAAACCTGCCAATATTACTGTAACAAAATTAAAGACAGTAATGAGTATCAAAAATAAAAAAGCTGCAGATTGGGATGGTATATCACCCAAAATATTTCTGCTTCTCCCAGAAAATGTTTTAGCAGTATTGACAGATGCTATATGTCCATTTTTATCAGGGTAATTTAGTGATGGCCTAAAATGTGCTAAGGTCATACCTGTATATAAAGATGGTGATAAACATTTTGCTGGTAACTATAGGCCTATCTCTGTTGCTTACATTGACAAATAAATAAATATTAATTTCTCTCGTTTAGGCAATTTGGTTTCCAATCCAATAAAAATACTTCAGACGCCATATTTTCTTTTCTCGAGAAACTATATTTGTAGCTAAATGAAAAATCAGTTGCTGCAGCGGTATTCTGAGATTTATCTAAGGAGTGTGACCATGTAAATCATAGAATATTATTAAATAAACTGGAAACATTTGGTTTCAGGGGTAAGACTTTGGAATGGTTCAAATATTATTTGTCAAACAGATGTAAAAGTATGGTGGTTAAGAATAATACATCAGATTGTCGTCTTGTTGGCAGTGGTGTACCTCAAGGCCCTGTTCTAGGGCCGCTACTTGTTTTTTTATTGTACATTAATGACTTGCCCAATATTAGTATTTATTATTTTTGCTGATGATACGACCATAATGTGACATAACAAAAGTGAAGACATTTTATCTAACAAGATTAGTACTGATATTATTTTAATAAAACGGTGGTGTAATTCTAACCTATTAAGCTTCAATGTTTGATAACTTTCAAAAATTGTACTATATCATATGTTATTCATGGTCAACAAAACATACAAAATCCAATAGACACCAAATTTCTTGGAATTTGCATTGATCAGAATTTAAAATTTGAACCACACATCAATTTATTATGCAATAAGTTAGCTTCTGGATGCTATGCAATAAGAACAGTTTCTAAGAGACCAAACTTTTAAATAGTTAAAGGTGTTTAATATTCACTAGTAGACTCACATTTAAGATACGGAATATGTTTTTGGGGATCCTGCAATCAGGAACTATTTAAAAGTGTTCTTGTTACAATAAAGGGCTCTTAGATTTCTATGCAAAGTTAACTTGGATGATTCATGTAAGTCTTTATTTTTAGCATAGCATTTTAACCTTAGTCAGCATTTTTATTTGGAAACGTCAGTGATCATGCACAAAAAATATAAAACTCTAATCAGTGCAAACTCTTATCATGCCACAAGACGTACTTATTGTATTCCACTCTCCATTCCTACTACCACCTTGCAGTCTATTTTATATAAAAGTAAAACAAATTTCAGTCATCTATCGTTAAGTCTAAAAAGGATTGAAAATGGATTATTTAGACGGGAAATAAAAAAGTTTCTTATAGGACAAGCATGTTATTTGCTTGGAGAGTTTTTTTGAGGATGGACTTGGCTTAAATTAATCAATTAATTAAAGGTCTGTTCCAACAACGATCATAAACCAGTTACTAACACCAGGATTCTGCGCAGTAGATAATTTGGCGGTTCCAATAATCTACTGCGCCGCATCCTGGTGTCAGAGACTGGCTTCTGATCGTTGTTGGAACAGACCTTAAATATGACCAGAGACAACACGAGACGTTCGATGATGAAGATGCTTTCTCTCTCTATGCTACGAAAGTTGAAGCAGGTGGCGCGCTGTAGTTATTTATTGAGAAACGCGCGAAATATAAAATATATTTGTACATTATACAGTGGGATACCACTTATGACACAAAATAATTTTTGGCTTATTTTAGAAAATAATTTAAAAAAATGCTCGAATATTTATTTTTGGTAAAACACATTTTTATTATAAAAATGCCATCCCATATTTCAACTTGTTTGTGATGAATTATTTAAATTAAATAGCAATAGCTCATTTGAAAAGGTTTTTATTTCTCTATGCGCTAGTTCAGTGTGATGTCATTTTGGTTCCACAGGTTCCACTGACATTCTAACCAAACTTTTAACAAAAACATCAATAAATTTGACATATACGTTTTTACTGTTTTTATTTTATTTCAAAATATTGTTTACAGGTCATATAGTTTAAAGGTATGTAATTGGTAACTAAACGATTGTGTATTTGATACATGCTATCTACTTACTTTAGGAATATATTTATAAAAGTGAAAAAAAAAACGATATAATTTAGGTAAACAAAACGAACAAAACGCACTCAAAAAATCTACTGTCACTTTAATTGTCAGTGGAACCATAATTACATCATCACTGAACTAGCGCATTCGATAGCAAAATAATTTTTACTCATTTTTTTATTTATTTATTTATTTACACCCAACAGTTTCAGCCAATTACAGGTTGAGGAATTTAAGATTACAATTACATATAAAATTATCTACTTATCACAGAGTATCTGCACGAATATTAATTTAAGAATGCATTTTTTATTGAGAATACAGATGAGTTGAATATATCAGGTTGGTTACTTATTAAATTATAATTTGAACACATTCGGAACAACGTTGAGTTTTGTAAAATATTGGTTCGCGCAGTTGACAGATGAAAGGTAATGTTGCTTCGAGATGCATTCCCAGAAACATTAAATGAGATTTTGGTAACAAATTGAATGTCATCTACCAAATTATTAATTAACTTGTACAAAAAAATTACTGATTGACACTGTCTGCGTATGTATAGGCGATGAAAGCTGTGCCTTTGAAGCTGGTCCTTAGAAAGTATACCCATGGGAGGATAAATTCCATCGTATTTTAGAGAAAGTAATTTTAGAAACCTTCGTTGAATCGATTCTAAGTTATCAGAATGTACTTGGTAGTGTGGACTCCATATTACCGAAGCATATTCAAGATTGGATCTGACGTACGCATAATATACATTTTTTACGGTTTGTAAGTTATTGAAGTGCCTACTATTTCTCGCTAAAAATCCATACATAGCTACAATGTTGTTAATGTGAGGTACGAATGAGAGATTTTCATCAAATGTCACTCCCAAGTCAGTAAAAGTTTGAGGCCTTTGAAGAGTGGTATTATTGAGTTTATAATCAAAAAAGATGACAGATTTTTTTTAAAGAGAAGTACATCACATTACACTTCTTTACAGAACACCATTCCTAAGTGTAACAGAGATTCGTAAAGAATCCGTCACAATCACTCTTACAATTTATCTCACAGTATATCTTCAAATCATCAGCATATAACAGCACTCAACATCGATTTTTTCCAAAATATCATTAATGAAAATGTTAAAGAGTAGGGGCATAGATTGCTACCCTGTGGAACACCAGAAGTTGCTAAATATTCGATAGACTTGAATCCATTATACATTACAAATTTCTTACGATTCGTCAAATACGACGCAAATAAAGTTAGTAGAGAACGGAAGATACCAAAATTTTATAATTTCTGCAAGAGTATTGTGTGGTCAAGTCTATCGAAGGATTTAGAAAAATCTGTGTAGATAATATCAGTTTGTGTTTGCTTCAGAAATGTATTGAGAAATATTCGTTAAATTCGTAATAGTCGAGCGTCCTTTCATAAATCCGTGCTGCTTAGGAGAAATTAATTTATTTACATTATTGTAAAGATGATTATGGAGTAGAATCTCAAAAACTTTACAGAAATTGGATATAATTGAAATTGGCCTGAAGTTTGCTACATCTCATTTTCCCCTTTTTTGAAGATAGGGCATACTTTAGATAATTTCCATATTTCAGGTATAATTGAACTTTTTAAACAGATTTTTAATAAAATTATAAACGCTGGAATGCTACCGGGGCCTGTCGTAAATTTTGGTTTGATTTATTTCAACGCAACTGATACTTCCGTCTCATTAAAGCTCTTTATGTTGAAAGTAAATGACTCTCTTTCAATTAAATCGTTTATATTAAAATTAGACTTAGGTAGGTACGACTTGGCAAAATAATCAGCAAATGCGTTGGGAATTGACTGATGAGAATTTAGTTCATTGCCATTGTAAACCATTTTATTTGGAATGCTACTTCCGCCCTTTTTTTATTAATGAATGCCCAGAATTTTGAGGGTGCTGACTAATAGCATCTTCCTGCTCTTTAACGTGGTCCTTGTAAGCTTTATCAATGTCTATTTTAATCTGTCTCCTTAATCGTTGAAATTCTGAATATGCGTACAAGTCATCGTGTTTTTTTTATAGAATTATAGAAATTTTCCTGTTTTCTTAATAAGTTTAATGATATTGAAGTTAAACCATATAGTGGATAGCTTCTAAGTTTACTGTTATTGCTAAATCTCGGTACATATTGATATATAGATAGATAGATACTTTATTGTTTTAAAATGTAAAATTTTATAAACAAAGTCTAAGTTCTTATAGTACTAATAGGTATTTACACAATTTAAAATTAAAATAAGAATATAAAATTAGGTATTTACACAATTTAAAATTAAAATATAAAAATGTAATTAAAATAAAATAAAATTGGTAAATATTACAGTATACATAAAATTTTAGTTAAAATTATCATTATAAAATTCTTCAATAGAATAATAAATTTTTTTTAGCATAATTTTTTTCACACTTCCATAGAATACTTTATAATTTGTAATTTTTCTTATTGCCAAGGGTAAATGATTAAACATTTTCCTTCCGTTGTATATAATAGAGTTCCTTATTAATGCGGATGATGGGATCGGTAGATAAAGGTAGTACGATTGCCTTGTATTGTATGTTGAAGTTATAATTATTTCTTCCTTAAACTTTTTATGAATAAGAGCTACCGTCTCTAATATAAGCAGGCTGGCTACTGTTAAAATTTTATATTTATAAAATAAGGGTTTACAAGAAGCATAATTATTAAGTTTACACATGTACCTCAGGGCCCGCTTTTGCATAATAAAGACTCTATTAAATAGCTCGTCAGAACATGCACCCCAGAAACAAATGCCATACCTCAAATGGGATTCTATCAGCGCAAAATATACGTTTCTTGCAGCCTGCAAACTTAAACTGTAGGTCACTGATCGTACTGCAAAACAACCCGACGCTAACTTTTTACATAATAAATTTATGTGACTTTCAAATTTTAGTCTATAATCAATAGATAATCCTAAAAATTTATTTTCATTTGTAACGTTAATAATTTCGGCTCCCATTGAAATATTTTCCATTTCACATTTAAAACAAACAATATTGGTTTTTGAAATATTAAATGTTAGATAATTAGCGTCACACCATTGTTTAATTAATTCAAATACATTATAAAGTTTACTGTAACAAGTATTAGAAATTAAAAATTAAAAAAAACCGACTTCAAAAACGTGCAGATGCCATTACCAGACCTTAACCAAATTTATATGGGACCACCCCTGAGATACCCCCATACTAACAAAAAAAGAATCATATAAATCAGACAATGTGGTAAAGCATTATTGCTAAACATACATAAAAAATGAAGAGGGAGGATTTTCTCATGGACCCAATTATTAGATTTTGACCAAATTTATATGGGACCACCCCTGAAGTATCCCCTTTCTAACAAAAAAAGAATCATTGAAATCGGACACCGTGTTAAAGAATTTTCGCTGAACATACATAAAAAAAATATTGCGACGAATTGAGAACCTCCTCCTTTTTTGAAGTCGGTTAAAAATATGTACAGGCATCTTCAGCATTTTGAAATACCTCCAGAAAAGTCCAATCAATATTAGAGATGTTCTATATAACCGAACATTGAAATTTACTTTGCGAAAGTTATAAGAATTGGTGTAGGATTTGGTAAAATTCTGTCGACAATTATTAGGACCTAAGTTGAGTTTACCAGAAATGTTGAGGACAGGATGATGACTGCTTTCATTAATGAGGTAATACAGGCAATGTTCAACTTGCAGCTTATGATTTGAAAACACTAAGTCCAGCAGTTTATGGTGTGAATTATAAACATTATTAAATTGCATAAGATTAAGGATTTCAGAGAAGTTAATTAAATGTCTTATGTGGTTATTTGTGTTAGAATTTCTAAGGAGAGATACGTATATTAAAATCTCCCAATATTAAAAGGTTTGTTTTATATTTCATTTTCTATGCGTATATTGACATTTAAATATTTCAAATATTTGCCCTTTTGGACTAAATACACTAAAATTTGCGGGATATTAAATAGGTCAAAGTAGCGAGTATTTGAAATATTTAAATCCTCTTATATCACCTAGAAAGAATAAAAATTATAAGTAAAATTTAAAACTCCTTCAAATGATTTTTCAATTCACATCTGTTGCTATTTAAAATGTTCAAAGGTTTACCCCAGTCAGGTGTTGAAATATGGGATGACACTTTTATAACAAAAATGTGATTAATTATAAATAAAAATTTACGTGTCCGAGCATTTTTATTGTTTCTCAAATAATGCCAAAAACAGTTTTGTTCCATAAGTGGTCTCCACACAAATTCTATTGAAATCTTGGTTTAAAGATATTCAACTTAGGACCGATTCCACCGTTGTGTTAAACGAAGTTTAAAATAACATTTTTACATTAGCAATGTCATTTTAATCTCCGTTTAACACAACGGTGGAATCGGCCCTTAAAGAATCTTGATCTTTTATGTACTTTACACCCCGCTTATTGTATTTAAGGACGTAAGCCATCCAAATTAAACACTGACGAAATAATTTTATTGTTAACGAATAATAAGCGGAATAATTATTTACCTATTTAATTTGACAAGTATTAATTACCAGTCATGACAGTTTTTATCCTTTCTCCATGACAGTCACGAAGCTAGAACAACGTTGCCAACCTACTTTCATTTTTCACGATTATTTAATATTTTTATTTATATTCTAATTAGTTAGACAAAGAAAACGAATATATCAAGCATTTCTACAAAATATCTATTGTAGCAAAGTCTTTAGAAAATAGAGTGGTTCTCCTGCTTCACCTCAAAGAGCGATTTATGAGAAATAAATAAAATAGAAGTAAATCGCATGAGACATGAGTAATTTGTGACTATTATTAATCGTTGTTGTCTTATTTTATCTATGGACACGTTTATGGACACGTTTATGGACACGTCTATGGACACGTCGTGGATGAATGACCGCTGGGACATTCCACCATGGGCCTTGTCACCATGGGACTTGGCCGACTAGCGTTTAACCATCGACGACGTGGAATGAATGACAGTGAATGAGGGATTTAATTTGGTGAATGGGAAAGTAGTGGGACCTTCAAATGATGGTACAATAAGCCGCAGGCTGCAGATGTTTATGGTGACTGCACGGGAGTCCGAAGGGTGTAAAACTAAATAAATCAAAAATGGGTTGTATTCGGCCATTAAAAAAGGTTACAATCTATTCCGTCACTCAAATCATTTTACTTTCAGTTACCATCATGGATACGTTGACGTATATTAAGCGTACGATTGTTTTGTCAGGAGTGGCGGGTCGGTGACTGCGTTGCAGTGTGAATTCCGCCGGAGATTCAATATGAATCGAAATTACTGTACCCGTCCGAAACACAATCTTACGCTGGGTTAATAACTTCCCCTAGTCGTCAACGTATTGTACGTACTCCAGAGAACGTTGAAAGGAGTAGACAAGCCTTATTGCAAAGCACACATCACTCCTAACAAAACAATCAATAAGCGTAGCTCAAACGTCCACGGATCCATGATGGCAACTGAAACTACTGAAAGTACAATGCTTTCCGTCAAGGAAATAATTGAAACAAGCCTCACGTCACTCCCTTTTCTAATGGTTCCTATGCCCCACCCTGTACATAAAATGAGAAAAAAAACTAGTTTACCTAACCTGTGCGGCCTGGATATATCGCGGGTTGTTTTGCAAAAAAAAACATAAAAATAACAATTAATTTATTAATTTCGTAATATGCTTTCGATCTTATACTATTTTGATCATATATCATTTCGAACATTAGTAGCTTTAAACATATAATTTCAATCGTTTGTACTTCCGACCGTATCTAATTTCGATCATTTGTAAATTCGAACATATGCGATTTTGATCCTTTCGATATTTTTTGGTTTCGATCTTTGCTCACTTTCGACCTTTTCAATTTAAAACATTTTTAGCTTTAAAGTTTTGTCATTCGAACTTTTGTATTTTCGAAGTTTTTCATTTGAACTTTTGTCTTTTCGAAGTTTTGTCATTCAAATTTTTATTGTTTGAACTATTGTTTTTAAAATTTTTTCATTCGAAATTTTAAAATTTGTATTTATTTAACCAACCGTTTTAATTGGCATAATATTATTATGAGCCATTAAATCAAATTGAAATATTGGGACTAAAAATAAAAAAAAAATAATACTGTATTCCGATCAATTTTTAATAAACATATTGTTTTAAGGTAAATATAAAGCAGATTTATTAAACGCAGAATTAAGTAAAAACTTATTCTAGACATTTTGAAAAGTAATTTAAATCTTGTAAGGTTTCCAAATGATTGGACGAAACTGAAGAAATATTACATACATTTTTTTATATTATTTGGAATTATTTATTAATTTTTCACTTTTTGACTGATTATTACTTAATTCCCAATTTCAGAAAACTAGAATCTGACCACAACAATGGAAATAGAGTTAGAATGCTATTGAGATTCGTAGAAAATCTGGAGAAAGCTATCTACAATGCCTCTGAAGGGTGTGCTTTGGCTATGCCACCCCCATCAAAAGTCGTTAAATCTTTTTTCATTGCAAATACAAATACTTGCCATGAATGGTTTTGTAGAATACGCATCGTATTAATGCACATAGCATTGCATTGTGGAGAAATCAATGTAGCGCTGAGAAATGGGCTTTGCTACCTCAAAGATTTTATTGATCTTGGTAGGACCAGTACTCAAGAGTTTGAACGAGTTGCTATGATTGTAACATTGGCCATGTTACATCTAAAAGAACCTGAAGCCTTATATGGACTTTATGCTTGGTGTAAAACTGTTCTAGGCAAACGCTATTTATGGATGAAATGTGCTGCAGAACAATGTTGTAAAAAATATGAAATGGCAGTTGAAGGTTATAAGAAAATTTTACAAGAGAAGACTGATTCATATCATTCATCTGAAGATGAGAGTAAACTCGATAGTGATATACATAATTTTATCATAGACCAAATAATAATTTGTTACAAAGAAATGAGTAATTGGATTGATTTATTTGAATGGCATACTGAACAAGATACCATTGAAAATGGAAGGAAATACTGGTTTAATGTTACAGATTGGGATACGAATAAAATATTATTTGACATGGAGTCAAAAAACCATGCATTTGATGAATTGGGCACTTGGAATTTCAAAAATAAGGAATCTTGGAGTATTTATGAAAATGTGTGTAATGTAGAAAGCAATTTATATAATATTGCTGTAAAATTAGCAACCAGAAAAGATCAAAATTATGCTTCAGAAATAGATAATATGATGACCAATATTCAGAATAACATTGAAGATCATTTACACTTAGCTCCATCTGATAGCCTTCAGAATTTTTCTCTATTACACTATGTTGTTAATGGTTTAAAACATGTAGCGCAAGGAAATCCTGCACACACTGTATTTTTAGTTTCTGAGTCATTTGAAACTGAAATACATAGAATCGATTCTTCTGTCCTTAGAAAAATACTTTGGTGGTCTGAGTACTTCGGAAAAGTCCAAAATCAAGGATTTAATGTATTTTGCAGTAACTTAAGATTAGACATTATTAAGAGATCACGTAAAGAGAAAAATTTTAAAATGACCATCAACCAAATCAATAAATTCTTTGTAGACAGAGATATCGTAATGTCTGGAGAACTGAATATTAAAGATATAGCAACCACTTTTATACAAAAAATACCAGATATAAATATATGGACAATTGATGTTGCCAGGGCTGTTTTTGAGGTTATAAAACTATCCTATTCTTATGAACAAAACCATCAGCAAACATTTAACTTGTGTGCTGCAGGCTCAACAGCTATTTCTAAATATGCAGAATTATTTGGTGTAAATGAATTAAGAAAAATTAGTAGCAAAATATTGTTGAAATTATCAAATTGGTTGCAAAACAATGAAAGTGTTTCTTTAACTGAAATGAATAGTCCTTTAGGGAAGCTTATACTGGTTTTACCAGAAATAGGGATGGTAGAATGTACCACTTCAAATATAATTCCTCTAAATGAAATTTCGATAGGAAAACTTCTTCAATTCAGTGTGCACCACTACGGAAATCTAGCTAAGAGTTGGAATGCTTTTGGTACTTGGTGTTACCGTTGGGGTAAAAAAATTGTAGACCACAGTTCTGATATTAAAAATAATTTAAGCGATGAACATTGCTTAGAAATAAAAAAGTTATTGCCGCCTGAAACATCTGAAGAAGACTTAACAAAAATATTTTTAATATTATCTCAAACTCGCAACATTATTGATGAAGAAGACATTGATTCCAATGAAATTAAAACCTCTGAGATGATCCAATCTCAATTACAAAATGTCGGAATTTTAAAAGATGCGTTAGAAACTCAGTTACAGAGTTTATTGCAAATATGGAGAAGTACCCAGAAAAGAATATATCATTATTATGCTCTAAGCGCCGAGGCTTACTTTAAATATTTACAGCTAGTACTTCAATCTGAAAATGTTACAAAGAATACAGAGTGCAATACAATAACAGTAACATTAAGATTGCTGAGATTAATTGTAAAATACGCACTTGAATTGCAAAATATTCTTGAAGAAGGTCTTCAAACAACACCAACGCATCCTTGGAAAGTTATAATTCCTCAGCTTTTCTCAAGACTTAACCATCCAGAAAGTTATGTCCGCCTTCGTGTTTCTGATCTTTTATGCAGAGTAGCTGAAGATGCTCCCCATCTCATCACCTTCCCAGCTGTTGTGGGAGCACTGGAAGGGGGATTGAAGTTTGATTTCTCTGAAATAACTCTACCGAAAGACTGTTTGTCTCAGAACAACGAATCATGTGAAGAAAATGAACTTAACGAAGAAGATGATAACTATGATAGTGACGATAATGAAGAAGTCGTTACTAATAATAGTTTGCAGATTTGTTTTAAGACGATGGTAGATACTTTGAGCAAACAAGATCCTGAGACTATTGCACAAGTAAGATATTATGACATAATTGTTTAATTATTTTTTAAAAAAATGTCGTTAATTGTTAATTAAATTTTTTACGTAGATAAATTGTTAAAGTTTGGTTTTGAGACTGTAGATATATAGGTATGTGAGAGAAGAAAGTTTGCATTAAATTAAACCCAGTATGAATGCCAAGTGATCAAATCACAGAACGACTCTCAATCTAGTGGGCAAAATATCTTAAAACGTAGAGATATTACGCCGGGTATCTATCTAAATATTGAAGGAGCTTTAAAAAAACGCATTATCAAAGAATGTCCTTAAATCAGATCTAAATTCGATAGCAGTTAATCCGAGAGGTAACACTTATATGTATTCTCTTTACAAAAAGATTAGCCAGTCTATTTGACTAAATAAATTAGTGGCTTAAACTAGTTCAATAAAAAATTGGAACTTCTAGTAAGAATAAATAAGGCATTTAACCCTTCTGTACTTGCCGACAAAAACGAAAGGAATAAAACGTAAATTACTGGTTATATTAACCCTTCAAGTACGAACGTCACCTATACGTGTCATTTGTAAGTCACTTAAAATAGCCAAACGTCGCGTAAGTTAAAAATAAGTGAATACTCTATAATATTCGTATGAAAATATGTATTTTTCTAATCACAAATTATGGCCGAACGTCGCTTATGATCGTATAACCTTATGTCGCTTATAAGCGATCCAAATTTGAACTTAGGAAAAAACTGATAAAGATGACAACGACGCATGGCGACTGACCACGTACTTTACAATGAGCAAGCGAACACGCTTAAATCATGGTAGTATTGTTTTCGCCAGCCAAAACTGCAAAACATACAAATAAAAAATCCGTCTTTAGGAGGTTGAACAGTGATTAAATCAATAACAATGATATGGTGTGGTCGTTTGGTGAGACTTCATTTGACCATCGGATCAAAGAGGTCAGGACTTAAAGGCAATGTCTACCATCTCAATGAAACCATTCTGATCCTAACTCCTCTACAAAATATTTTAAATTAGGTGGCTAGGATGATTTCCTATAAACTCATGTCTGTGTACATGTAAATAAATGGGAATTTATATGGATAATAATGCTGTGATAAGTCAAATGAAAAATCACTACTTATGAATTATCTTTGGTATGTCTGCCTGATGTAGACATTTTCAAACCACGACAATCGCTTTCTACACTAGCTGGGACTGAACTATTACTTACCCTTTAAATTCTGCACGGAATTGAACATGAAATCTACCGCATAACATGCTACAGCACCCACTAGTGAATGAAGCAAGACTATGTTCTTGGAGTTGTGGTATTTAGAAAAATCTCAAACTTGAAGTGCGGACCTGAGAACTTTCGCTACCATCTTTCAAGTAGTTTATTGCTTACAAAAGAGCTGGTCGTCAATCTCAGCTTGCAAACAACTTTCAGTTAGTTCATTTTTTAAATTTACTGCTTATTTACAATCTACTTGAATTAGTAATAAGTAAATGGTGTAAGGTATGTTGGCTTGAGTCAGGTACTGTCCATTGACAGCTCATTTACGAGTTGATTACTGTTGTTTGTTGACTTCGATTATGAAGGGTATATTGAGGTCTGTTTGGATGGTTCTGTTGGTGACGTACCACAGTGCAGTTGTGATTAGGGTTGCCACCTTTTTGAAAAGTGAATAGAGGACTACGATGCTGACAGATATACAAAAAGTCCTCATCCTTCTACTGAACTTCTAAAAAAAAAAACAAGAAAAGATTGCCGAGCTTGTAACAAAAAAAATCCTCGTCATTTTACCGAGGTCCTCAGCTTATATATTTTTGTACAAACCATGTCCCTTCCAAAGATATGTGCTGTAAAAATAGACATTTGCCGTATAAAAGAGGACATTTTAAGCTTTAAAAAGTCACAAGGACATTTTGCTTCAAAAAAGGATAGGTGGCAACCCTAGTTGTGATCATCCTAAGCTTCTTAGACTGGAAAGTCTGAAGAATTTTGGTATAAGAGGGCTTGCTACAGCCTCACAGTTCGATACCATATGCCAAAATTGGTTGTAGGATACCTTTATATATGCTTAGTTTGTTTCTTACATATTTCTTATGTAGTCCGAGGTATTTGACTTTATCTTTTACAGGGATATGAGCATATAGGGTAAGCTGAGGAGATTCGGTTCTTCTAGTTGTAAATATAATTTGGCAAGATTTGTCTGCATTTACGTTGATTCTCCACTGCATGAGCCGTATTTGGATTTCATTTAAGTGATTTTGCAGTTATTACGAAGCCATTATAGGACCTTTATTTGCAGCAAGTATTGCTGTGTCGTCAGCGAATATTGCCATAAGAGTATCTTTCCTAATTGGTACATCAGCGGTAAAGATCAGTTATAGTAGTGGTCTGAGGACACTTCCAGGAAGGTCGCCAGATTTTATAGAGTGGTATTGTGATAGACTGTCTTCGTATTTCACTTGGAAGTTGCGTAGAGCTCTGCGTTTGTCTATAAATAATTCTCTGATGTCAAGTGGAATGTTGCGATTTTCTTGAATCATTCCACGAGTTTCTGTTGTGAATTGCTATGAAGCATTTTGTATTAATATCATTAGGTATTGTATAATACCACAATAGGGGCACAATAGATCTTTTAGGTCGCAGTGTATTAACACCCCATTATCAACATAACATAGGTATTGTATGGATTCATCAATGTCTTCTTTCTCCTTTAAGGATATTTAGTGTAATATTGTCATTTATATAGTTATGGAAGATATTCCAATCAGTTGTATTGGAGCAGAGCCGCTGTAAAGGTTTTTTTCCAAATGATGTTAGTACTTAATGTAACTATTATAGGGCTGTGATCGGAGTTTAGGTCTAGTTTTTAAGTCTAGTTTAGCTCTTTGATTCAATAATTGTATTTGACATTAATTAGTTTGTTTATGACAGTGGTTAGCATGGTTAACATCATGCTATTTTGATTGAGTAGTACATGTTCTTAAATTCATTGGGAAACTGTTAGTTTGTTGGCTAGATTTGATTCATTACTATTTGTAGGGTAATTTTGCTGTTTGAGGTCATTTGGGCGTAAGTAAAGTTATGATTTATTTGTTGGCTTTGGATATTATTGTTATTGGTGGTTTGATCTATTAGGTCTAGATTTACTTTGCACCCTTTATAGTTAGCTGGGTGGTTTCCTTCACACAATAAACATATTGTTGGTGTATTTATAGGTTTCGTACAAGTCTTGGTGTCATGTGACCCACCGCATTTGTATGATTTCCTACAATAGGTCTTTGGGTGTCCATAGTCTTGGCACCTAGTGCACTGTGCGATGCTTCTTTTATCAGAGCTTCTACTTTAATTTTGCAATGTGACAATAATTCTAGTTTGAATATTTCTTTATTATTGATGTTTGGTTAAGTATCAATAAAGAATAGTGGTAATGGATCTTTAGTTACTCTGTCCCTGATGTTCATTATGTTACGGACCAAATGTTCCTTTTTTGGAGTTCTTTGGTGATTTATACTAGAACAGAAGGATGTAGGTCCCGTATTACTACATTGATAAATATTCTTGTTGGGCTAGAACAGGTATCATTTTCGAGTTTTGCATTGTATTTTGTTGCACTGTAGGATTACATCCATTATTAAATTGACCGAAACCGTTTCTTATTATTGGAAACATTTTAAGTTTCTAAATCGCTGTGTACACTGGTTTCTTTGTTTATTAATTTTTGTCACAAAACACATTTTATTTTTAACCAAGCACTAAAAATGCGGTTTTGTTATTATCAAGACTGAGTTAATTTAAAGCTGATTTTAAACTGTAGAATAGCTCAACTCTCAAATTAAGTCACTATTGAGTGACGATAATTAAAAAGATGGACCAGAAGGACAATATCCAAGACGAAACAGCAGAACAGATATGTATTTTTGCTATGGAAATAATAATGCTGTGAACGTTTGGATTGATCCAACTGAAAGTTACCAACTTAAAATTAATCTAATTAAAAACAACTATAGCCCTGTTCAGAAGATTTGATTTTTACAGTGAACAGTAAAATTAAATGTGCGCCAGAATAGATTCCCTGGTGGGGTGCAATTAAAGTAGACTTCATTGTCCCACTTATTTTAAAAGAAACCCAACTTTAATATCGAGTTGGAATTTTATTTTAAATACTTTATTTACATTTTTGCTTCAACTGATAATTAAAATAATATAAGCACTTTTTTTAGGTACAAACCCTTGTCAAAGAATTAAGAAGGATTACACTTCTTTGGGACGAATTATGGTTAGGAACCCTAGCCCAGCACCAATCCGAAATTAATAAAAGACAACAGCAACTGGAATATGAAATTGAAAAAGTAAATGAAAACGCCAGTTTAGATAAAGCAGAGAAGGCATCACTTGTTGTAGAAAAGCACAGAATTATCATAAAACCAATAATATTTGTCTTGGAACAACTGTTAGATGTGACTAGTGTAGAAGCAGAAACTCCTCATGAGAAGCAATTCCAAGAGAAATATTTAGAAGATATTGTAAAAGTTATTAAAAATTTAAAAGATCCCGATCATCCGGAAAATCCACAAGAATCCCTATTACCACTTAAACAATTACAAAAGAAATTTCAGCAGAAATTCCACAAAAGAGCTTCTTATTCACTTAAAATGCAAGATATTAGTCCAGTACTTCACAATTTGAAGGACAGCGTAATAGCTATGCCAGGTTTAGCATCAATAACAAAGAAAAACGTTACAATTTCCTATGTTTCTAACATTGTATCCATTTTACCAACAAAAACGAAACCTAAAAAATTAATATTTTATGGTTCTGATGGCCAAACTTACACTTATCTCTTCAAAGGTTTGGAAGATTTGCATCTAGATGAAAGAATAATGCAATTTTTAAGTATAGCTAACACGATGATGGCCCAAATTGCTGATCCATCTGGTTCTAATTTCTACAAAGCCAGGCACTATTCTGTTATTCCATTAGGTCCAAGATCTGGACTAATTTCCTGGGTTGATGGTACAACACCGGCTTTTGCTTTATATAAACGATGGCAACAAAGAGAAATTGCTAAACCGAATTCAAAAAGTTTCACCAATGTTAATGCTGGCGTATTAAGGCCTTCAGAACTATTTTATAATAAATTGAATCCTCTACTTCAAGAACACGGCATCAAGAACATAGAGAACCGCAAAGAATGGCCTTTGAGCATCTTAAAACAAGTTTTGACCGAACTCATGAATGAAACTCCAAGTGATTTGCTTTCTAGAGAATTTTGGTGCAATTCAGTTAGTCCAGACTTATGGTGGCAAGTTATTAAACGTTACTCATATTCAATTGCTGTTATGAGTATCATAGGCTATATTATCGGTTTGGGTGATAGACATTTGGATAATGTGTTAGTTGATTTGACTAGTGGTGATGTCGTTCATATTGACTACAATGTTTGCTTCGAGAAGGGCAAGACTCTTCGAGTACCAGAGAAGGTGCCATTTAGACTGACTCCGAATATTAAGGATGCATTGGGTGTGACTGGAGTTGAGGTAAGTAACTGCACATAATATTATTGCCTGTGTTATACAAGGGCTGTTCTGAAAAAATATAAGTACAAAAACTATGGAATTTTAAAAATAATGATAAGTACGTGATTTACTCCCAAAAGACCATTGACCAAAGTTCTTCAGCTTCAAAAATGTACAATTACTTGTAATTTAATGAATACAATAACTAAAAATTAAGTTTTAAATTAAAATAAATTAAAAAATTATAAATGAAATAAAACTCAAGTACATATCAAATTATGGAGTGTTCCACAATAAATGTTTCTGAAGTAGATCATGGAAAAAATCATGTATGCCGGAGTAGGCAATTCTTTTTTAAATAAAATTTTGGATATAATCCAGAGGCATTCGTAGTTATCACAGACGTGACTCATATCTCTGTCAGTCATGACATACTTTAGAAATAGTTTTTGTGGATTACTTGTTATTTATAATACAGTGTATACTTAAGTTAGAACCATATGGAAAAATGTTATTATTAGTTTTACCGAAAAAGTTACTTTATTAGTTCTGCATAGTGTAAAACCTATGATAAAATTATAAGACAGGCTTCCAGCTTCACCTACTGTGAAGTGGAAGTCATGTTTGGCGCTGAGAGTGGTGAAATTAAAATAAAATAATAATACCTACCTAAACCAACCTTGGCGGCCAAGTCGCGTTATGTTAATCACCCTTGAGATAACTCTGAAGAAAGTTAGGTAAAATTCGTTGTAGATAAAATAAACACCAGAAATTCAACAAAGTATATTTATTTCGGACGGTGGTCAAAATTCAGTCGAACATGGATAAAATAAATGTAAAACAATTAAATAAATAACCCTTAAATCTAAAAAAAAACGATGGTTCCTGGGAAGCTATTTATCCAGTATAAATAGCTTCACGGTGTATTGAATCAAAATACAAAATAAACAAATAAATCAATAATTAAAAATAGATACGTTAGTGGCTAAATAAGGGCAGTAATATTAATAATCATTCGCATATAAATAAATTAAATAAATCACAAAATAAATGAATTGCGATTCCAAAATACCCTTTGGAAACTCGGATGTCTCAACTTTAAATATTTCGAGCGTTCGTTCACCTATCGTGGTACAAAAAAAACGAAAAACAAAAAAATGTATACTGTTCGTTGGCGGCGGTGTCGGATAACCCAGTGAAGTAAGTAAGTAAATTCTTTATTTAGCTTTCAGCTAGTTATAAACAAATATTTACAATTTAAACTTAAAACTATAGGTTACCTAAACCTAGATAATTACTAATCATATTTTTAAAACTACCTAGAGTTGGGGCATCTTTTATATTTTTAGGCAACGCATTAAAAAGACGAATCCCTTCCTGCAATAATGAGCCCATCAAAAAAGATTTTTTTGTGAAATCAATATTAAAATTGTCCATTGATCTGAGTGGACGTAAATGAAGTTCAGATCTTTTTACAAGTAGTGTACTAAGGTATTTCGGAGTTTTGTGATGTATCATCTTATATATTAGTATTAAATTCGACATTTTAAAGCTTTGCTCAACTGTATAGACATTCAGCTGTTCATGCATTTCCCTGACCGAAGTGTAAATATTACAATTTAATATTATCCTTAAACATTTATTTTGTAACAGTTGCAATCTGTTGATGTTTTCTTTAGTAGCTGATAATAGTAATTAATTACAATAATTAAAATGTGGGCGTATTATTGTATTATAAATTAGAGATTTTGACCATTGCGACAAGTTACATGAAATCCTTCTAAAAAAACCAATTTTTTTACCTAATTTTTTACATAAGTAATTGGCATGATTATTAAAAGTTAATTGTTGGTCAATAATGACTCCTAAATATTTTATTTCCAGTACTTGTTCAATTGGTTCACCACCTATTTCTACTACTTGATCATGCGCATTAAGTTGTCTGCATTGTGCTTTTGATCCTAGGATCATATATTTTGTTTTTGCAGTATTTAATTTAAGCTTATTTACACACAGCCAGTCATACAAAATAGACAATTCTTCATTTAATATTTGAATTATTTCCTGAAATTCTCTACCAGATACTGAAATGAGCGTGTCGTCCGCGAAAAGGCTAATAAATGATCTTTTTAATCGTTTATGAATGTCATTTACATAAATAATAAATAAAAGTGGACCCAACACACTTCCTTGCGGTATCCCGTAGTGGCTTTCTGTTTCACTAGATATATTATTTTCTATTTTAGTCTTATGATACCTATTAGACAAATACTCCCTAATTAAATTTAATGCTACCGAATTTATACCGTAATTTTGCAACTTTTTTAATAAAAAAATGTTATTTATTGTTTCAAAAGCCCTTTTAAGGTCAATAAAAACACTAACAATAATATTATTTTCATTCATATCATTTCTCCATTTCGCACAAACAAATTGGAGAGCTGTTTCACAAGAATGTTGGTCTCTAAACCCTGACTGTCCCTCATACAAAATATTATTGTCTTCAAAATAAGACTTGAGCTGATCTCTTACTACAATTTCAATGATCTTATCTGCAGATGGTAATAAATTTTATTTTTAAATCACTGGGAAACGTACCCTTTACAAGGACCGTATTTACCAGATTAAGAAGAGGGTACCCGATAACACAAAATAACCCCTTCAATAGTGCAATACTTAAACATGCGTCACCTGAACTTTTATTTTTAAGATTGTTCACTATTTTTGTTAATTGATTAAAACTTATTTTTTTAAAAGCACCAAACTCACTGTTGATATTGACGTCCTCCATGGGTGAAATCCTCTTATCTTCAATGCTCTTTGCGATTTTCTGGATACTGTTTTTGTAAAAATTATTAAAGTTCTCTTCCACAGTACTATTATGTTCACTAAAAATAATTTTTTCAACATCTAACTTTTTTTTATTTTGACCTAGCAATTGTTTTATAGTTCTCCACATTTCTTTTCCATCATTTTTAGATTTATCTATTTTGTCCTCAAAATATGTCTTCTTCTCTTGTCTGACTATGGTCGTTACCTTATTTCTTTTAGTTTTATATAATTTCCAATCTTCTTCAATTTTTGTTATGGTAAATTTCCTATATGCTTCATCACGAACTTTTTGTGCTTGTTTTATTTTATTATTTACCCATGGTTTACTGTTACTCACCATTATTTCTAATGGGGCAATTTTTTCTATAGACTTTGTGGTATTATTAATAAAGTTCCTGTATAAAACATCGGTATCTGTTGAGGTCGTATCCCATGATGCTTCTATTAGATCCTCTGTAATTTTCTTGATTTTTTCCTTATTTATTTTACGTACACAAGTCATTTCCTTTTTCCGATCTATACACCATCCCTTTAATTCTACACCTATCATTTCATGATCTGACATTACTGGAAATTCTCGTGGAAGTTCAATTAGCGAGAAATTATTTGTTATTATCCAATCAATCAAGGAAGACGAAGTTTTTGATATTCTTGTTGGTTTTTTGACAATTTGTTTAAATCCCGAATCCTGTATAGTATTTTTGAACTTGTTGACTATACCCACATCAGATCTAAACTCCATGTTGAAGTCTCCAAATATAATCGTATCATTAGTATTTACAAGATCTCTCTGTAGTAAGTCATCAAAAAACAGCCAAAAATCATTACAATTGCCATGTGGGGATCGATAAACAGTTCCAATTATAGCTGACTTATTACTTTGTTGTATTTTAAGTAATAGTACCCAATAGTTTAAAGAGACCGACACTTTTTGTATAACTGAATAGTTTACGTTTTCCCTTAAATAAATTATACAACCTCCAGTATGTCCGCTATCTGAATTCACTCCTATACAGTGGTACCCTGCAATTTGAATCTCGCTGTCCTCTATATCTGCAGTAATATGTGTTTCTGTTACGTTTACTAATAAAGGTTTATTTTCAGTTAGATATTCTCGAAGTTCATCAATATGTGACGTTAATCCCTCAATGTTAATACATATTGCTTTGTATTTGGTATTTTCTTTTAGTTTCTGGGATGGCTATATATATATTTTATTTTGGACTTGGTTTGTTCAACTACTCTCTTGTACGATACACATTCTTTATTGAACACAGAGTGATTGAAAACTATTCCAGGAATTTTTAGAATATCGTGTGCATACACACAATTTGTACATTTTTTTACTAGTTCATTACATTCGAAGCTTTTATGTTCACCATTACACTCAGGACACACAATTCTGGTAGAAGTACAATTTTCTGCCTTATGATTATACCGCCAGCATTTAAAACAACGACGAACACTAATGTGCTCATATACCGGGTAACTCTGCAATCCTCCAAAAAGTCGGCCCTTTTTGATTACTTGATCAAATATTACGGGTGGTACCTCCATGATTATATTTATATGATTTTTATTCTTGGGCCTGTATTTTTTAATAATTTTAATATCATCAATTCCTTGAATATCGGGAAAATTTTGGCTTCTTACATCAGCAACAAACTTACTTTCATCATCGCTACTAGCTTGTTGCACTCCAACAATTAATATTCTAGGTCTTAAAAATGTGGGTACGTCAATGGTATACTTATCTGATAACTCATTCATTACTTTATTTTGGATTTTTTGCCGAGAATCCTCATTATCGCATTTTATCAAAACACTGCCTTGACCGACAGGTTTAATTGTTTTGACTGCTACGGCATTTTCAGCTGGCTTAATTTTTTCTTCTAATTCGTTTCTTGTTGCTGTGCTATCTTGCTTTTTCTTTGGTCTTATTATTAATGGAATTTCGGTTTGTTTTACTTTATCAGCATATGTCATCTTACTATTTAGCTCAATTTGCGTATTTTTAACCGTCTCCACCACCTGCTTGGCATCTTCTAATATTTTTTTAGTTGCTACTTCCATGTTTTTTATCTGCCTACTGATATTAATTTTCTCTTCTAGACCCACAATGCATGTATCACAAAACCAACATATGTTTTCTTTATCATTTATCACTTTTAGGGAGGTATCTTTCATTT